AGGGATAGCTGAGTGTTCTATATCTTGATCTGCAGGAAATGAACTATATGTCCCACTGGGCACAGTTTGAGCACATAAGACGTCAAAGCCCAACTCCACAGTGACACACTTCCTCTAACAAGGCCATATCTCTTAACAGTGCCTCTCTTTATGGGCCAAGCATTCAAATACCTGATTCTATGAAAGCTATACCACCACAGGATCCAAGGCAGAAATATAGTTATCTTGCTATCAGGTCATGCTATCAGGTTGCCATCAGATTAATTTATATTCATACCAATAGAGCTATACTGATGTTAACCTTAGTCTCAAAAGCTTATTTTGCAGTGGGCAGAAGTCAATGGAGAAATTCTCAAAGTACAAAGGACAAAAAAGACTGAGTTCACTCTAGATATCTCCTATGTGGAAGGAAATGGTGATAGGATGGGAGGCTGGGGGGGATGGTGAGGGGGGTGCAGGAGGAGAGGAGGGAGAGGGAACTGGGATTGACATGTAAAACAAGCTATTTAAAATTAAAATAATAAAAAAGACTGAGTTCACAGTCCTAAATAGTACATTAATTTTAACCCCATCACTACCACCAAGTCTTAGGGAACATAATGGAAGGGAAATCAGAGCAAATGTCAGAATCAAATAACAAAATAAAGGGAGAATTTTAGGATCTTCTTTCTGTATGTGACATAGCCGTGGAAATCATGAATTCACAGAAACAGTAGTTATCTGCACAAGATCAAGACATACAAAATCCTAGCATAGAATGGGGTAAATGATTTCTAAATCCCACCCATTATTGAAAAATCTGTTGACAATTGATAGTTGATAGAGGATGAAGACTCATTCTATTTGAGTATGTATCCACAGGTATGATTTTCATGCTCCAGGATATATTTCCAATCTATAGGAATCATGCCTATTTCCAATCAATAGGCATGATTCAATGGGTTATTTAAAAAGAACACTTAAAGTTACAAGGGGCACATATTGAAGGAATGTCTGGGTATTTGCAGGGCATTAATGGGAACAAATATGGTCATTTTATTGTATGCACATATAAAATTCTCAAGAAAAGAAATCTTAAATGTATTATTAAAAACAAATAATTCAGTTAAAAGTATTTTGTACTTCACCCTAATGACAGATGAAATTACGGTTGACATCTTCACATGCTTTCTGTCGCTATGAAAAAAATCACTAAAACAAATCTGGGGAGCAAAGGGATTTGTTTCATCTTAGTTTACAGTCCATCATCAAGAGAAGCCATGACAGGAACTCAAGACAGGAAAGTTGAGGCAGAAAATGAAACAGAAACTATAGAGGAATGCTACTTACTGACTTGATCCTTGGGGCTTGCTGAGGCTCAACCTGCTTTACTAACCAAAACCACCTTCTCAGTGGTGGGACAATAGACTGGACCTGCCCAAGTTAACCATTAAACAAAAAAAAAATAGCTCACAAGACACACCTCTGATGGAGGCGATCTTCAGTTGAGGGTCCCTCTTCCCAGGTAACGTTATTCTGTATCAAGTTGACAAAACTTTAACTAGCACAGTTTGTGAGTGTCGCAGAGAGGTTCAGTTTTGCTCATTTGTTACAATCTTCTAAGAAGACTTAGATATATACTATCTCTTGCCCTCCATATTACTATAAAAAGAAAAGCCCAACTCTACACCCTCATTTCTTTTCTAAATACTTTACTACCATTTAGCTAAAATAATATATTTCTAAAATTATTTATAGTTGCCACTTAAAATGTATCTTGTGCTTGGGATGTTGCTTACTGTTATAGCACTTGCTGACTGCACACAAGGCCCTAGTTCACTCCTAGGCACCAAAAAAAATCATTTTATGTAGCATGAAAAATAAAAGACTCAGTGATATTGGGGTTCAAGCTTCAAGCTGAAGATTATAATAAGACAAAGTAGTCAAGCCACCAACTCTTACCTCTATCGCAGGCTGAAAGGACTGATCCTATCTCCATGAGCTCTTCACCATGCCTCAGACTGCTGCCTCTCCTCGGTGGCTGGAGAAATCCTGAGACTGACTACTGAAAACCCTGTTCTATCTTATAAACCTTTTTTGTTCTGGGATTAAAGGTGTGAGCTCTATTATTCTTCTAGACTGATTCAATCTTGGGTAGCCCTAGGTGGCCTTGAACTCAGAGATCCATCAGCCTTTGTCTCCTGAGTCCTGGAATTAAAGGTGTGTGCCTGGATTCTATGGCTAACTAGTATGGCTGCTTTGCTATTTTTATATCCAGTGGTTTTAATAAACATTATATCACCAGGCGGTGGTGGCACAAGCCTTTGATCCCAGCACTCGGGAGGCAGAGGCAGGCGGCTCTCTGTGAGTTCGAGGTCAGGCTGGACCCATAGCCTCCAAAACAATACAGAGAAACCCTATCTCGTAAAAAAAACATTATATCATCACAGTTTTTTTAATTGAAATATCAGAAATATCATGTTTTGTACTGAAGTCTTCATAGTTTATAAAACAGATTTCACCACTATTGCTTTACATGATTTTCACAAATTAAGGTTTTGGAGAAGGGGTATAGATATGCCTATATGTTTCTTTTCACACGCATTTAGATCTTCCTTGTGTTGCTATAATATATTGAGTGTTGTATTAATTGCATACCATTATGCCTTTAAATCTTTTTTAATCTTTTATTGACTTGGATTTCACATCATACATCCCAATCCCACTTATGTTCCTTGTCCCCCTAAATCCACCCTTTGTCCATTCAACCCCCACCAATTTTTTTAAAGAAAAACAACAATCAAAATAAAAAGAACAAAAAAGAGAAGAACTTTGTGGAAGCTGTAGTGTGACCCATTGAATTACATAGTTTATCCTTTAGGCCATTCATCTTCACTTGTAAGTATTGACTGCTATGAATCATTGGTCTGGTTTGAGGCCTCTGGCTTCTGGTATACTATCTGTAATAGGCTCTCTCTGGTGTGCCTCTTGGCTATCCAGTTGTTGTCCTGTGTTGGGAAGATCCTACAGTTTTGGATATGCATGTTCATCCCTTTTAGATGTTGGGGTGGGCTAACTTGTAGCCCTGGTTCTGGACCTGGATGATAGTGGGCACAGTCAGCCAACCAGCTTTATTTCATTCTCACTACTTGGGAAAGCTCTTCAGCACTGCCTAGGCTTAGCTCACCTAATGCATCCTGTAGAAAAGGAGAGGGTCAGTTCTCCTGTTCTGGTGTCTTCAGATCTGGCTTTCCCACACTCACATCACCAGGATTTGCCTAGGCAAGGTGCATGGCCCTCTTTCCCAGTTGCTGTAGGGAAAATATGAGGGGCGTGAGGTCAGCTCTCCTGCTCTCACTGAAAGTGAGTGTGAATGTTACAGCTCTGGAGCTACAAACATATTCTGACTTATCAGGAAACCGGGCTATGCCTAGAGCCAAAATAAGACAGCTTTAGAGGATAGAGACAGCTCAGCCCTTGAGAGAAAGGTGTCCTGACTTGCTGAAAACCCAGGCTCCCTGAAGCTGGGACGCAGTAGGGATTTGTCTCCTCACAGGATATAGCAATTCTGCTCCTGTTCTAGAGAGAACTGTTACAGCTGCTCCTGCTCTGTTCCCCTAGCAGCACTACCTGATTATTCTACCGCTAAAGGAGAAGCCGGGGTAGATATGCAGCAATCTCCTCCAACTAAGGCAAAAAGTTGCTACCATGTCCTCGGGACCTGCTCACTTGCTTCCCCAACAAAGTCAGCTCCAGTGGGCTACCCAGACAGAATGCAGAGCCTGCTCTCTTGTGTGCTGCAGCCGGTGAGGGGCAGAGCTAGTTCTACCACTCTTGTGACACCAGTGGCAATGACTAAACAGAAGAAAGCATCTTTGTCTCACCCATGCCCCCACAGGGCAGACAAGGGGACAGAGTCAGCTCTCCTAGTCTCAAGCCGTCAGAGTTGGCTCATCTGCATTCCAACAATAGAGTCAGCTTGAAAATGCTGCCCAGGTGAGTTGCACACATGTAGTGAGGGCTGTGGCCCTCTTCCCCAAATTTAGGGGCCAGCTCCCCCAGGCCCAGGAAATGGCAGGGCAGCCTCAGTACAGACAGCAAATTTCCACATATATGGTTTCTATGGCACCCTGTGTAGGGAGAGATCTTAGGTACCTGTACTGTTGATCACACCCATTTGGGTGTGGTCACAAGTACATAGTAGGAACAGGAGATAAGAGCTGGGGGGAAGGGAGACATGCAATCTCTTGAGGTTCCAGTTGAGTCTTGGAGACCAGCAGAGTGCTGACCTCAGGTTCTCAGCTTCTCATGTAAGTGACTTCTCCCTAATAAAGTATTATATGACATCCCTTCCCTGTGTACCTTGTTTAGCTTAATATTCCTCTATAACCCTTTGTTAACACTGGCCATGAGCATCATTACAGACCCCAGCTGCAGCAGGAATAGAGAACCAGTTATGAACCTCAGAAGCAACTCTGTCCTGGCCATCACCACGGCCCCAGTGGCAGCACAGGCCACCCAAATCAGTCCCAGCAGCATGGCCCTTGGATACCAGGATGGCTGACCAGATCATGGTAATCCATATGGTCCTTGAGGGCCATGTCTGAGTTCATGGCCCTTCCATAGCCAGGATCTGTGTTTATGCCCATAGTTCCAGATACAATCAAAATACATACCAATGCTAGGGGTCTGGGCCATGCTGATATGAGTGGCTTGTGCTGCCACCAGGGGCCATGGTGACATCAGGACCCATGCTGCTACCAAGGACCATGTTTGGGTTCATGGCTCTACCATAGCTGGCTGTATTGATGTCTGTGACCCATGTGGTCATCAGAGTCTACATGGATGCTAGGGTTCTGGAAACCATGAACATCAACTCAGACCATGCCTGCTGTAGGGCTAGAGTCAGACATGGCTCTCAGTAGTATCTCTGGACCAGATAATGCCATGGCCCCAGGTAAGAGTACAAACTGCTCTGATGAGCATGGCCTTTGGCAGTGGCATGACCCTCAGACACCTACCTGGCCCCATGTTGTGGACCAGAATCTCCTGAAACACAAAAACAAACTCTGCCCCAACACGAACATTGGGGAAGTTGCCTTTTTTTCAAGTTTTATCTGATCAGATGAGAAACATTTGTTAGTCACATAAGTTAGTTTAGATTGAATGGTCATGCTGTTTCATGAATGATCAATCACCTCTTCTAATCAAGAGGTTGCTATTGGTAAAATTTAATCTTTATCAATTTTGATGGTATCTATAGCTTTTCTTCTCCTGTGAAAACCAAAGCAAAATCCCTTCTCCAACATAACACATGTACTGGTTTCCATTCTGAGGTCAACACATCTTTAAAGTATTCTGGCTGATGTAATTCCATAGTTTTTGTTATTATCCAATGTCTCTCCATGCATGGTCTTGATCCCTAGAAATAAAAATGAGACTACAGCTCTGGCTGTCCATTGACTCCAACCATGCAGTTCAAGTTATCCATATGTTCTATGTACATTTGCTTCTCAAGGAAATATGAGTATATCAGAGGTAGTGAACTTTATAGATAAATAATGAAGTAATCATTTCAGTGGGAGAAATTGAAAAAATGGCAATAATTCTGGTCAGGACCCTATAATGGGTAACATAAGAGCAGGCATGAGAGAAGAGAACACCTAGGTAAACTGAGAAGTCAGTCTTCCTCAGTTATTACAAAATAGAGAACCAGCTAGATTACATGAGTTCTACCTTATCTTTTCCAGTGAAGTTATCTACAAGGCTTACTTGCTGAATATGATAGTTTGAAAGCAAATGGCCCCCAAAGAAGAGTGGCACTTTTGGGAGGTGTGGCTTTGTGGGAGTAGATACGACCTTGTTGGAGGAAGTGTGTCACTGTAGAGATGGGCTTTGAGGTCTTTTGCTTAAGCTTCACTAAGCGTCATTGTAGACTTCCTGTTGCCTATAAGATGTAGGTTTCTCAGCTACTTCTCCAGTACCATGTCTGCTTGCGCACTGCCGTATTCCTCATTGTTGGGGGAAGTCCTGTGTATATGTCAATGAAGCACTGTTGGCCAAAAGGGAACCAAGACAGGTGGGACTAGGAACCCAGGAGGACTCTGGGTAGGAGAAACACAGGGAGTCAAGATATAACTGCCATAGGGATAAGAAGCCCGGAAAGTTCTCTGGTAAGAGAAATGCTTAGATTAATAATTATGGGATAAATACTTAAGTCAGAGCTAGCCAGTAAGAAACAAGCAAAGCCAACAGCTTCATAATTAATATAGCCTCCTGTGTGTTTATTTGGGACTAATGTGGCTCTGGAACCAGGCTGGCGGGAAGGCTTCTCTTTTCATAATGGTGTCAGGAGTGGGATCATGAATTTCCACGTAGAATGACAAAAGCATTAAAGGAATTTTAGAAACAGAAGAACGGAGAGAAGCACAGATTTTTGGCAGCAGCATTTTCTCAGGTGGGCTCTATTTTGATAGCGACAAGCAGACTCTCACATGGCTTGCTTAAGGGAGTCTTCCTGACTCAGCATAAAAAACAAACCAAAAAAAAGGTTATTGTAAGAGGCTCTGCTAGCGATTGAAAGGTGTGTATATACAGCTGGAAGTGGCAATGACCACATCTCCAAGCCGGCAGCTCTTGCTGGATGTCAGCATGGACTGAGGCGGTAAGCTGGACTCATGCTTACGCCTGCCATCTTGGAAAAACTGCAGTTTAAACAGCCGCGGTTTTAACAGATAAGACACGTGGCCAGAAAAACATAAATATTAACAGTAAAGTCAGACTTGGATGAAGAAAAACCTCTAAAGGTTTACAGTGTGTTTAAAAATATATGTAAGATTGAGAGACTGGGAGCGCAGTAAGGATGGCTCACTGGAATTTGTGAGCCTGTCTGCTTTTCTGGAACCTAGGCTCCAGCCGAGCTCTATTTTTGTTGGGTGGAGCTGTTTAAGGCCGCCTGGGGCAAGCGGGAGTCTTTCAGGTGAGGCCTGCATTCTCACCACGGATGGCATGACTGACCTGGCTAGCTCCAATCTGCTACCAACTTTCTCTCCATCTGCTTTATTCTCGGGCACGCTGATCTCACTTGACAAGAGTGCCCAGAGAAAAATCAGAAGGTAGAGAGGAAGAAAGCAATGAAGACAGCAGGTCATGTCATCCACAGATCCCTCTTGCCTTCCTCCAAAAATCCACTCCTGATGGCTAAGGATGAGACAGTTTTTAGGATGACTGAACATTCCCTGGACAAAGAATAAAAAAAAAACTGGTGTAATTGCTAAATCTCATGTTAAGCACATCTTCAGTTTTATGAAAACTACCAAACTGCTTTCCAGAGTGTCTATACAGCTTTATATTTCCACCAACAGTGTGTGAGAGTGCCTGTTGTTTAACGGCAGCATCAAGGACCTGGAGTTTGACTGCTCTAGTAAGTATGCAGGGCATCTCAGTGTCATTTTAATCTGTAGCTTGTCTTATTGCTGCCATTGAATCTCTTCTTTGGTTGACCTTCGAAAGCTTTTTTAAAAGTCTGGCACATATGGAAGCCATGGGTCAGTCCCAAGGCCATTCTTCAGAGCCATCCACCCTGCTTTTTTTTTTTCTAACATCACTTCTCACCAGGACCAGAGGCTTGTTGATTCACCTAGGCCGTCTGATCAGCAAGTACCCAGGATGGGCCTGCCCCCCCCACAGCCTCTTCATCTTGGGGATTACAAGCTCATGTCACAGCTTCTCTAGTAGGTGCTGGGGGTGAAACGAGGATCATCATGCTTGTGCAGCAGGCTCTTTGCTGACTGAACAAGCTCCTCAGGCCCTTAAAAAAATTAATCAACTTTTCCATTTCCCTTTGTCAAGTTGTAGGAGCTCTTTGTGCATTTTACATAATAGTCCTTTATCAGACATACCTTTTGCAAATAGATTTTTCCAGTCTGTGTCTTGTCTTCTCATTCTCTTGTAAGTGCTTTTTGGAGGGTTTTTAATCTTAAACAAGTCCAGCTTATTGTTTCCTTCAGAAATTGTACCTAAAATGTCACCATCAGTCCCTAAATCCTTTAGGTGTTTCCTTCAGTATTATATTATAGAGATTCTATAGTTTTATATCCATGTCTCTGATATATTTTGAATATTGTGGTGAGACGAAGGTTGGAGGATTGTGACTTAAAATACATAACAAGACCTAGAGTAAAAAAAAATATGTTGACTGTATTTATGTGAGTCTATGCCTGGGTTCTCTGAGATATTATTGGTAGGTACATTTGTTGGTGCTGGGAATTGAACCTTTGCCTCAAACAAGCAAGTGGTAGGCAGGTACCCTACATTCTGTCTACACTGCCTTGATTACTTTGGCATTTTACCAAGTCTCAAATTCAGTTAGTGTCAATTAAATTCGTGATTTTCCCCTCGGGTTTAAGTTGGCAACTGTGTAGAATCTGTTTTGGTTGTTGTCCTGTTCTGGTTTGGGGGGTGGTTTCTTGGGATTTTGCTTTGTTTGTTTTTACCATCTAAAGACAATATGCTGGCATTTTGACTGTGATTATGTCGAATTTGTGGTCAGATTTGAAAGAACTTGATGGTGTTAAGTCTGCCTGTCAGTAAACATGGGATTCTTTCCAAAAAAAATATATGTAAGATTGAGAGAGAAAAACGAACAGCATAGTAGTAAATAGAGAATCAGGCTGTGGTGGCACAAGCCGGTAGGATTTGCTGCAGAGGCAGAGGCAGGCAGATTTCCAAAGAGAAACCCTGTCTCAGAGAAAAATAAATAAAACTAAAAGAAATAGAATAATAATAATAGATAAATAAATAAGCCACGTAAAGATGGAAAATACACAGAGTCTGGATACTGTACACTATCGTGTTTTTCAGTTTTTTGATTGCTCAGGAAGGAACAACTGCTAAAGTACACTTGAGTATAAATGCTGCTGAGAATTCTACCAGAAATTCAAAGAGCTAATTCCAATACTCCTCAAAGTATTCCACACAATAGAAGCAGGAGGCTCACTGCCAAACTCTTTCTAGGAGGTTACAATTGCCTTGATACCCAAGCCCCACAAAGACACAACTAAGAAAGAGAACTATAGACCAATTTCCCTCATGAACATCGATGCAAAAATACTCAATAAAATACTCGCAAACCGGATTCAAGAACACATCAGAAAAATCATCCACCATGTTCAAGTAGGCTTTGTCCCAGGAATGGTTCAACATTAGAAAATCTATCAATGTAATCCACCATATTAACAAACTGCGAAAGAAAAACCACATGATCATCTCACTAGATGCTGAAAAAGCCTTTGACAAAATCCAGCACCCCTTCATGATAAAGGTCCTAGAGAGATCAGGGATAACAGGAACATACCTGAATATAATAAAAGCAATATACAGTAAACCAACAGCTAACATCAAACTAAATGGAGAGAAACTCAAAGCAATTCCTCTAAAATCAGGAACAAGACAAGGCTGTCCACTCTTTCCATATCTCTTCAATATTGTACTTGAAGTTCTAGCTGCAGCAATAAGACAACAAAAGGAGATAAAGGGGATACAAATAGGAAAGGAAGAAGTCAAACTTTCACTATTTGCAGATGATATGATAGTTTACATAAGTGACCCAAAAAACTCCGCAAGGTTACTCCTAGAGCTGATAAACACCTTCAGCAATGTGGCAGGATACAAGGTAAACTCAAAAAAAACAGTGGCCCTATTATTTACAGATGATGAAGTGACTGAGAAAGAAATCAGAGAAACATCACCCTTTACAATAGCCAAAAACAACATCAAATATCTAGGGATAATGTTAACCAAGGAAGTGAAAGACCTGTATATCAAGAACTTTGTGTCTTTAAAGAAAGAAATCAAAGAATATACCAGAAAATGGAAAGATCTCCCATGCTCTTGGATTGATAGGATCAACATAATAAAAATGGCAATCTTGCCAAAAGCATTCTACAGATTCAATGCAATCCCTATCAAAATTCCATCACAATTCTTCAAGGACCTGGAAAGAACATTAATCAACTTTATAAGGAAAAACA